AGATAGATAGATAGATAGATAGATAGATAGATAGATAGATAGATATAGATAGATAGATAGATAGATAGATAGATTGTTGAACATTTACCCCCCACCTCCCCCCACACACATGATATGCACACACGCACACAACTTTGAAGTTGTTGTGCTATAGCATCGGACCGGGGTGACATAACGTCTGGTGCGATATATCGGGCTGTGATCGAATTATCTAGCGACTCCCCGGGTCAGTACCGGGACCATAAAAACGAACCCAATATGGTGTATGATTTAGGACTGTTTGCTTGCTTATGTACAATTGAGTTACCGTATATAGCTAGGCCCTATTATTATTTCGCGACATCCAACCCATTATGGACAGACTATAACAGGAGCTCCGGGGTTGAAAACCCGAGATTCTGATCATGCCTGTCAGAATGTACATCTGCTCTGCCAAATAATGTTGCCTGAGATGTTACGGAGATTAAATGGTTTCATTAAAGAGAAAAGTTGGCCCATAATGATATTATTGTGTAAAAAAAAAGTGTTAACGAAAAATAACGTAGACTAGTAACATATTGGTTATGAATTGTTCACAGCCACAATTAAATTGTGGTTAATTTGTGAAAGTGCACTTCTTGACCTGTCTTTGCTGCACTTTAAAACCTCCATAGATGACATGTTCAAAAGTTATACTATAATTATATTTCAAGAACAATTGTTTAAGGTTTTCAGTTAGAGCCTCAAAATGGTGTAAAAACCTACAGCAGGGAAGATGTCATGATACGCCATGGTGTTCAGTGTGTGTGGGCAAGCTGCGTGTTTTCTCGTTATTCAGGTATGTAGGCCTATGTGTCAGGTGAGGGATCAGTTAGACTGCTTGGAACACACGATCCCAAGTTAGAAGTAGGCCTGCAGAGCTTTCTGGTGTTCGGACTGATGCTGCCATAAGTTTGGTGACATCATGCAACCATTCAAGTGTTTCGAATTATGAATGGTGATCCAGAATAAAAACATCAAACGAGTCCTGAGTTGGGGAGGGGATACACATGTAAATGAAAAATGGAGCGAATGGAACTCTCATCAAGATTGTCTATTTATCTAGCCAACCGGAATGTAGTACAGATGTAGGTAAGACTAGACCTATGAATTTCTTAGCAAACGCGTGACAAATCGATTTACGAACAACAAAATTATGGTTCCATACCGTAGGCAGAGTTTTGTTGGGTATTTGGACGAACCGCAAAACAGAGCAGCCAATGAAAATGCAAATGACTGTCACGTGAAGAGGTTGCGGAAAAATAAGCTGTGGACGACCTGGAGCGTTGTCATTGTTCAGGATTGCCAGATTGGCACATTGAGAAACGTTGCATTCAAAGGTCGTATTTGAAGAGCATAATACTTTTAGGCGCGGGCGCGTGATATAAAATTCTAGACCCAACCGCGGTCGTTCCATCAAAGATTATCTACTAGGCCTACCAAAAATATTTGATTCGACAATGCTCAATGAAGACGCTCTGTTTCTGGGAACAAAAAAAAACCCAAGACACCCACCCCCCAAAAAAAACAACAAACAAAAAACAACCCAACCATGCATGATAACTTCGTTATTCATTCAGATGTTTCAGCTCTCTTTTCTTTATATCTGAAACATTTAAAACAGGCAGGCAATAACATGCATTCTAAGAAATACACTGAATCAGATTTAGACTCTAGTATGTAGATTCGTGTTCTGATTTGGGTAAGCCTATGGTTCCAACCGTTTAGTGCTGCTGATCAGACATAATAACGATGTTAAAGCTATTTTCCTTTGCAGAGTTTTTGAGCAGAGAAACCAGTGGTAAACCGTGACTGCCTTTGTCTGTTCAGACAGATCTGGCGCTTGAAGAACACCATTTTGTGTCATGAGCTCCCGTCGAAGCCGTCGGCATGATTCCGAGTCATTTAAGTTGTAGTGCTACTGACGCAGACTGTTGTATCGACAAACGGTATTATACGGAGTGCTCATTGAGGGATCAGTTCTCTACGGGGTACCCAACCTGATCGTGCCAATTGGCAACCCGTATTATAGGCCAACGGGGTGCCCAATGGCACGATCGGTTCAGTTCAGTTCGGTTTGGAACGTTGGGCTATCCAGATTGAGAGTGCAAAGCGACAATCGTTGCACAAACGCGTTTGTTTTCAAGACCGCGAGTCGGGCGATCGGTTGACCGTCGGTTTGTC